GGGGGGGTGGAGACAGCGGACCTGGCATCGCTGGCTGCCTGGCTAGAAAGGCTGAAGGCCAATAACAGGGCTCTTCAAGAGTTGAACGTGGAGATAGAAGATCATATATCGGAACAAGACCTCGTCGCAGAATACACGACGGTCACGGAGTACGACGACGAGGCCATCCGAATGATGGTGCTGTTGGACTGCAAGGCAGACGCACTGAGACACAAAGAACAACAGGCAGAGGCCACCCAGATGACCCCATCCGCGACAACATCTGCGACTGCCACTACAGACCTGGGAAGAAATCGCAGCAACGTGACTAGCGGCGTGAAGCTTCCCAAGTTACGACTTCAAACTTTCAACGGCGAGGTCAGCGCGTGGCAGAGCTTCTGGGAGCAGTTCGGTCGTGCTATCCACGAAAACGATAACATTCCACGATCGGACAAGTTTCAGTACCTGCGCAACCATGTCACCGGACCAGCGGCGGCGGCCATCGCTGGGCTCCAGGCAACTGAGGCCTGCTACGACGATGCCATTGAAATCCTGACACTGCGCTTCGGTGATAAACGAAGGATCGAGCAAAATCATTTGGCGAAGCTCCGAGCGCTGTCACCTGTTGCCTCCGCGAAAGACACGAAAGGCCTCCGAAAGATGTACGATCACGTTCAGACGAACATCCGAGGTCTGAAAGGGCTCGGCGTGGGATCGCCAACGTACTGCACGATGATGTCCGATATCTTCCTCAAGGCCTTGCCGAGCGAAGTCGCCGTAAATTATCACCGGCAGCAGGCAAGCAGCACTGCCTACATGTCAACGGGAGAAACGCAAAACAGTCCGACTTCACTGACCTCACCAGCGCTGCAGGACACCAGACACTCTGTCGACGGACCACTTTCCACCCGGAGCGCTTCAAGGCCGCCCTCTTTCGCCGATGCCAAAGATGAGCTCGCCGATATTCTAAGCTTCCTTCGGATCGAAGTTGAGAGTAGGGAGAGAGCCGGAGTAGTAGAAGAACGGCGAGAGACGCAGAAGAAAAAGACTGAAAGACCCAGAATGCCTGCAGCCTCTGTGCTACATGCAAATATCACAAGCCCCTGCTTCTTTTGCCGGTCCACAAAGCACGCAACAGAAGTATGTACTGGCGACCTCACGTTAGAGGTGAAGAAAAGGAGGCTAGCGGAAGAAAACCGCTGATTCAGATGCACAATCGGAGGGCACCGGGCGAGGGAGTGTCGGCAGAAGGTGACATGCGCGTCGTGCTCGTGTCGACATGCCACATCCATATGCGACCCGAACTGGAAACCTAACGTGAAGAAATCGGATAGAGGTGCCCCTGCGACAAGCGTCCAGAACGCAATCTCCGACAGTGCTGACATCCCATTGGATTCCGAAGTGCTTCTTCAAACATTCCGAGCCTGGGCTGAGGAAGGAAACCAAAGACTTTACGTGCGAGCCATTATCGATGGAGGTAGCCAACGGACGTTCATTCGTGAGGATCTTTCTCGCAAACTCGGCCTCAAGGTTCTGGGATATGTTAGCCTCCGGCTAAATACGTTCGGCCACTCCACGTCACGACCGCAACGTCGGCGACTAGTACAAGTACGGTTGCACAGCCAATACGGCCAAGAAAAGTGCGTCATCGAGGCCGTCGAGGTACCCTTCATCTGTAAGGACGTTGTGCAAGTACCCGTCGACCACGAATTTGTTCGCCGTATGATGAAAAACGGCCGTCGTATTGCGGACATGCTTCTCTCCCCTCTGGCCACTGCTGAAGAGGGCATTTCCCTTCTGGTCGGTTCAGACCAGTTGTGGCGAGTGAACGATGACTAAGTGCTGCATTGCAAGGAAAATCAGAAGCTGGTAGCTATAAGCACCATTTTTGGCTGGACTTTTCAAGGCCCAGTGTCAAACCACAGCTCTCTCAAAGGCAGCGCCACCAGCATGGTATGCGTGCTAAGAACGAAATGCTTCACGAACGAGGACGTCGGAGACATCCTTCGGCGTTTTTGGGAGCTAGAGGGCATCGGAATTTCTGACCAGCCCTCCAGCAAGATGGAAGAACAGAACGAACTGCTGAACGAGTTCAACCGAACAATACGGAAAGTGAATGGACGGTACGAAGTAGGTCTACCGTTCAGGGTCGGCGCGGGAGAACTGAAGGATAACCGCACGCTGGCATTGAAACGTCTTGAGAGTTTGAAGAAGAGATTGTCACGCGACGAGTCCTTCGCAAAAAATTACGACAACGTCATACGCAGCTACATCACCTCAGGACACGCAGAAAAAGTTTCAACGAGCCCATTTTGCGCCGAGTCGACAAACCCACGGATTTATTATATGCCCCATCAGCCCGTAATTCGGAATGAATCCGAGACCACCAGGCTGAGAGTCGTCTTCGACGCTTCGTCTCATCTCCCAGGAGTTACTTCACTCAACGAACAACTGGAAAAAGGGCTGAATTTGAACGCCGTTCTAGTCGGAATCTTGGTGCGCTTCCGTCTACACTTAAACGCCTTAGCAGCGGACGTAGAAAAGGCGTTTCTGCAGGTCAGCGTTTGACCTGAAGATCGAGACGTCCTACGCTTCCTGTGGTTTCAGAGAGATTCGTCGTCAGCAAGCTCTGAACCAACCGTTGAAGAGTGGAGGATGACGAGAGTGCCCTTTGGGACATCGGTCAGCCCCTTTCTACTAACCGCCACTCTTAGTCATCATCTGAGCAACGTCAATGGAGAATTGCGATCGACTGCGGAACTGCTTCAACGGGGATTCTACGTCGACGACCTCCTGATCGGAGCGCCCCCTCTATTGAAGAAGCGGCGCGAATACAGGAACAAGTCAACCAGATTTTAGAAGATGCAGGAATGAAACTCCGAAGGTGGTCTAGCAACGCGACAGAACTGCAACGATCGTTCGATAAAGCTGCATCAACGTCTGCACTCTCTGAGCCGAGAGCTGTACTTGGACTTTGGCGACGTGACGCTGACACACTGGCCATTCCAGTGGAGAGAATCCTGAACTTCGTCACGTGCAGTGGGACGACGAAGCGCTATGTACTCCGCGCATCAGCTAGGGTTTTCGACCCGTTAATTGGGACTCCTTGTTCCGTTCGTCATACGAATCAAGGTTTTGTTTCAACGAATCTGGGAACAAGGAATTGGTTGGGACGACGATCTAACGGACGACCTACTGTTGCAATGGCGGCGATGGTGCGCAGAACTTCCACAATTAGAAGAGATAGTGATTCCTCGCTGCATCGTGAAGACGCCAAGAGAAGTCATATGTTCTCTCCAGCTACACGTCTTCTGCGACGCAAGTCCGGTGGCCTATGGCACTTGTGCCTACCTGAGGGCTGAAGGAGAAGATGGGAAGGTAGAGGTGAACTTGATATTCTCGAAATCACGTGTGTCGCCCATAAAGTGAATAACACTACCTCGACTAGAACTAATGGCTGCAGTGATTGGAAGACGGAGGGGCCAGTATCTTGGAGAGATCATGAACATTCAAAAGACACTCTACTGGACAGATAGCGCTATCACACTTCACTGGATCCGCGGGTCAGCTACTCAGTGGACGCCCTTTGTGGCAAATCGAGTGGCAGAGCTCCAATCTGGAGGGTCACCTTCTACGTGAAAGCACTGCCCCGGACAAGAAAATCCGGCAGATTTTATGACACGGGGAATATCTGCGGAAACTCTAAAAGGTATGCAATTGTGGTGGAAGGGTCCAAAGTGGCTTGGTAAAACCGAAGACGTATGGCCGAACCTCGTCATGGGCGACGACGTCCCAGTAGCAGTTATTGCAGAGGAGGGAAAGCTGGAACATCACGTATTGCAGACTGCAACAGAGGGGATTGCACCTCTATTGGAACTTGAACGGTACGGGGCGCTGGAACGGATCTTCAGGATTACTCCATGGATTATGCGGTTTGTAAAGAACTGCCGAACGCGGCGAAGCTGACGTGAGGGCCCGCTAGCGTCCGAAGAACTTGAACGAGCCGAGACTTGGTGGATCGCACGAACGCAACAGGAAGCTTTTACACAAGAATTGAACGATCTAAAGGCAGATAAGAAACTGGAAAGGCGTTCCAGCATAGTCTCGCTCGCCCCCTTCATTGACCCCCTGGAACTGACAAGTGAATAAACCAAGGCAACTTTCACGCGAAAAGAAAAATAAAGGGAGGGGAAGGGGCGGGGATGTTGCAGATTAGAAAGAATTTGAAGCTGAAGCTGAAATTTGAAGAGAAGAAAGAAGAAGGCTCGAGGCACGAGCGGAACGAGGCGAATGACAGAAGCCGATCGAGACACTTCTGTGTACTGATGTATATTCTATTGATTTATTAGTGCAAATACAGTTTGTGTTTTGCTTTTACGCTTATTGCCTGATTTAAATACGACGCCCACACGACCTCTTTGATTCTGAGACACTCAGCATTAGGTTCGGTGTTCGGAAGGTCACGCAATATTGCTTTGCTCTGTCGCGAACTGTTTAAACATTTGTGAAGGGCGGAAAAGCGTTTCCTGTGCTTTCAGATAAAGCTTCAAATAACTGGCAACCAGGATTTTAAGACACATTATGGCCAAGTGTCGTTAATCTGAAGCGTAGCTTATTTAGTGGCACTAGCTCAACGAATCAGACTCAGATATTTTTTCTCCAGCTACGAACTTCCAGTTTGGGCAGGTCGTCCAGGATAGAGTCGTGCGTGCGTCCAATCGACATATTTTTGGGGACCGATTAAAAAATCGATTAACCGGTTAAAAAAATTCATCGCGAGTAAAGCCTTAATCAATTAATCCTAAGGTTGATCGATCAATTGCCCAGACCTAATATATATATATATATATATATATATATATATATTGTGATGAAGACCCTTATCGTCGTCATCGGGCATCGTCATATCTACCTCATCATCGTCATCACCGATAGCTCGTGTGGCCCGTGCTCGAAACCGCGGGCCAGTTCGAATATAATCATCACTGAAAGCGGTCGTTGAGCTTCTGTCTTCCTGACATTATTGGTGGAGGTGCGGGGTCACGATCCCAGTAGCGACGTTCCATCACTCTGGAGCTTCGTCCCAGAAGGCGAATAGTGACAATGACCAGCAGTGGCCAATCCTCCTCCGCTGCCTCTGCAGCTGCAGTCAGCCCTGCCCCCAGCCAGCTCCGACATCCCAAAACCTTTGCCGGACTCCGAGAGGACGACGTGGAGGACTGGCTGGACGTCTACGAGCGAGTGAGTCTTTATAACAAGTGGGACGACCAGGCGAAACTGCGGAATGCTATTTTTTATCTCTCCGATGTGGCCAAGATCTGGTTCACCAACCATGAAGATGAAATCGTGACATGGCTGCTATTCAAAACCCAGCTAGCCGAAATCTTCGGCAAACCCGCCAATCGTAAAGCTGTAGCTGAACGAAAGTTGGCAGCACGAATTCAATCTTCTGGCGAGACGTATACTTCCTACATCGAGGATGTCCTCGCACTTTGCCACCGTTGCGACAAGGACATGTCGGAGGCCGACCGAGTCCGCCATGTAATGAAAGGGATCTCTGAAGAGGCATTTAACGTCCTTCTTGTGCAAAATCCCACGACTGTTAAGGACATCACCACGCATTGCCAAAGGCTGGATGAGGCCCGCAACTCCCGTCTTCAGGTTCGAGCACTGCATGACGGCTCATCAATTACCATGCCTTCTTTATCGACCGATACCCTGAAGCAAATGATACAGAAAATTGTACGAGATGAACTTTCACATTTTCTCCGACCTGCTGCAAGTCACCAGACGATTGAGAGCGACGACAGCGGGTTGCGCCGCATTATCCAACAGGAGATTGCTTCTGTCGTCACACCAAAAGAGACTTCCCCTAAAGTCACCGATGGACTTCGAACTTCTGATGAAACTTCTCGTTCGGGAGTTCCCCAACTGATTCCGGACCTTCCTGCTCTGGCTTCTATCTCGCCTGGTTTTAACAGGGGTCCTTTACCCCCTTGGAGCAGCCGCCCGTGCACTTATCCCAACTACGGATCCTGGGGATATCGGCCGCGTCCAATCTGCCATTATTGTGGGATTACCGGCCACGTGGCACGAGTTTGCCGACGAAGACAACAGGACTACGAAACCCGCGACTACTATAGTCGAGAGCGAAACAACAGAGGGTATTGGAACCAGCCGCGGGATCAGTCTCCACCCCCGGATCCCTATCCAGCACGTCGTCCGGAAGCTCCACGGCGCCGCTCCCCATCTCCATATCCTCGCTCTTTCTCACCCATGATCTCGAGGAGAGACGCGCGGCCCAATACGGGAAACTAGGTTCCGCAATTGTTGGAGGAGCAACTGCGTCACGGGAGAGTCTTCATCATCCTCCCTCTGACCCATCCAATCTCATCGAGGTACATATCGACGACTTACTCCTGTACGCTTTAGTTGACACAGGGGCGGCTACTTCCGTGATAAGAGAGGACATTTGCTTACGTCTTCACAAGGTTAGAACACCCCTACATGGTTGTTCATTACGGGCGGCGTCCACAGACATCATTCATCCCACCGCTCAGTGCACGGCTCGCGTTTTCATACAAGGTACGTGCCACACCATTCAGTTCATGGTTTTGTCATCTTGCACACACGACCTGATTCTAGGCTGGGATTTTCTTCAATCTGCTGAAGCTGTCATTAATTGCAAAGGCGTCAGTTTGGGGGATTCAAATAACCGCGAGTCTGATTCCATAATCGTTGAAACCAAATTACGGGCCTGTGAGGATACTGTCATTCCCCCGCTAGCATCTTTCCTGATGAATTTTTCGAGCGAACTAAGCCTTTCGGGGACTTTTCTAGTAACTCCTCTGTCTACCGTCTTGCTATCGCACGGGTTCATCGTACCCTATGCCCTATCTAAACTTACCGATGGCAAAACAGTACTCCCTGTATGTAACGTTACACACCAGCCACTTCTTTTCGTAAAGGACACAGTCGTCGCAAGTATCGAACCACATAATTCTTTGGAACTTGCTTCGCTCGAATCAACACATCATTTTGACCCTCCAACGTTGCCTGTTATATCCAACCAAATACTTTTGAATGCCATTGACTCTGACCTGGGAGAGGTTCATAAAAAGCAATTAATTAATTTATTAACTCGTTTCCAATCGTGCTTTGACGTTTACACGTCCTTCACAAGCACAACAAACTCGGTAGCACATACGATCAATACGCCTCCTGGAGAAATAGTTCACCAACGCCCATATCGCGTGTCTCCTTCAGAACGCCGTATTATTGACCAAGAGGTGTCAGAAATGCTGCGTAAGGGGATCATCCGTCAATCCTCGAGCCCCTGGTCTTCACCAGTAGTCCTTGTAAAAAAGAAGGACGGCAGCATACGTTTCTGCGTTGATTACCGTAGACTCAATAAGATCACTCGCAAGGACGTATACCCTTTACCACGGATTGATGACACATTAGACACCCTACAAGGACCCGAATATTTTTCATCCCTGGATTTAAAGACCGGCTACTGGCAAATACCAATGAAGGAAGAAGACAAAGAAAAAAACAGCTTTCATTACAACTGACGGTCTTTTTGAATTCAACGTGATGCCTTTTGGCCTTTGTAATGCGCCGGCAACATTTGAGCGCATGATAGATAACGTTCTCCGTGGCCTTAAATGGCACATATGCCTTTGCTACCTTGATGACATTATTATTTTTTCTCGTACGTTTAACGACCATCTCCTTCGCCTGTCCGAGGTGTTCGTTTGTCTCACAAAAGCTAACCTCCTACTCAACACAAAAAAGTGCCACTTTGCCTCTCGACAAATTAAGATACTTGGGCATTTAGTAGATAAAGATGGCATTCGGCCCGACCCAGACAAGCTCAAGGCAGTAAACGAATTTCCTGTTCCTCTTAATATCAAACAACTTCGTAGTTTCCTAGGACTCTGCTCGTATTTTCGCCGTTTTGTACCTCACTTCGCCCAACTGGCTGCCCCACTTACACGGTTGTTACAGGCCAATGCACCATTCATCTGGTCCCCTGAATGTCGAGACTCATTTCACTCTCTCAAAGCCACTCTCCAGTCCGATCCAATCCTGGGGCACTTTAATGACTCTGCCCCTACAGAGTTGCACACCGACGCCAGTGGATATGGCCTTGGTGTTGTTCTATTGCAGAGCGATCCCAACACACTAAAAGAATATGTTGTGGCCTATGCGAGCCGAATGCTCTCCGCCGCCGAACAGAATTACACTATAACCGAGAAAGAATGCCTAGCTGTCGTTTGGGCCATTAACAAATTCCGGCCATATCTTTACGGAAGACATTTTACTATTGTGACCGATCACCACGCGTTATGTTGGCTTTCTTCCTTGAAAGATCTCACTGGCAGACTTGGTCGATGGACGCTTGCGCTTCAGGAATACAACTACACAGTAGTATACAAATCTGGGCGCAAACATACAGACGCTGACAGCCTATCTCGATGTCCAGTAGACAAACCAGATGAACGGCTTGAAAACATGGATGACGTTTTTGATGTCTCAGCACTCCATTTTGACTCTATTACACATGAGCAATCCAAAGACCCATGGATCAAAGGCATCATCGACCACCTTAAGAAACCGAAGAACTTCGTTCACAAAAAGTAGCGAAAAGAGTTACAAAACTTTTCTCTCCAAGATGGTATACTCTACCGGCACAACGTTTCCCCTTCAGGACACCGCTGGCTTCTCGTAGTTCCTCGCAATATGCGCACTGACATTCTTCGATCTTTTCATGATGACCCTACTTCAGGACACATGGGGTTTAACAAAACGTACGCTCGCATTAGGCAACGCTACTTCTGGCCGCAGCTTCAGACAACTGTTTTTAAATATGTTCAGTCCTGCTTGAAATGCCAACGTAGAAAACGTCCAACGACTGCCCCTGCTGGTTTGCTGCAACCATTAGTTTGCCCCAGTGCGCCTTTTGAACGAGTAGGAATCGATTTGTTCGGTCCGTTCCCCGTTTCTTCTCATGGTAATCGGTGGATAGTCACGGCCGTTGACCACTTAACTAGATACGCCGAGACTGCCGCGCTTACCTCTGCGACATCTGAAGAAATTGCTCAATTTTTTGTACACACCATACTTCTACGTCATGGTGCGCCACAAGTCCTCTTAAGCGACCGAGGACGGCAGTTTCTTTCGAGTACACTTACAGCTATTCTGAAAGCCTGTAACGTAATTCATAAAACAACATCATCATATCATCCACAGACAAACGGTTTAACCGAACGTTTTCACAAGACCCTTGCAGACATGATATCCATGTATGTTTCCCCCGACCATACGAGCTGGGACACTGTACTCCCGTTCGTAACTTTTGCCTATAACACTGCCCTCCAGTCTACCACGGGCTACTCCCCTTTCCATCTAGTGTAAGGACGCGAAGCATCATGCACAATGGACACCATCTTTCCTGTCGCTCCTTCAATCAACAATCAGAGTGAACTCCTAGAGAACTTCATTTTTGGCGCCGAAGAATGCCGCCAGCTCGCGCAGCTCCGCACGTCGCGGCATCAACAGGTCACCAAGGACCGCTATGACAAGCACCACACGAACACGTCTTACTCCCCTGGTGACCTTGTGTGGGTTTGGACACCAGCCCGACAACCTGGCCGAGTGGACAAGTTCCTCCACAAGTACATCGGTCCCTATCGAATCACCGAGAAAACATCACCTGTCTCCTACCTCGCTGAGCCCATTTCTTCCTCCTCGGATGGCCGCCGTCGACCTTCGGAAGTTCTACACGTGAACCGCTTGAAACCATACCACCCACCACTGCAATAGCTTCCCCCTTCCCCCCCCCCCCCCGAGGAGGGGGGTAATGTGATGAAGACCCTCATCGTCGTCATCGGGCATCGTCATATCTACCTCATCATCGTCATCACCGATAGCTCGTGTGGCCCGTGCTCGCAACCGCGGGCCAGTTCGAATATAATCATCACTGAAAGCGGTCGTTGAGCTTCTGTCTTCCTGACAATATATATATATATATATATATATAAACGCAGTAGCCACAAACCGGAAGTCTGTCGAATTTTTTGTTCTCGACTTAAGAATTTTAAAAGAGGCCGCGGCGGAAAGCAGTGTTTTTCACATCCGTCGTGGGCCGGATGTTTCGCTCGATCTCCTACCGTGGATTTTCAGTCCACATTATATTACGTTTTTTCAAGCACTCTGTGAGCATATTTAAAAAGCTCTAATGAAATGAAATAATTTTAGGCGTTTTGCTTTTTTTTGTAAAAATGTCAAAAACGCCCCCTCGGTTAGTTGTTGACGAAATTTGAAAATTAAATTCTGGCGATCTAATGGGGTTAAATCAATATTTGTTTATGTCTACGGAGAGCCCAAAACACCCTCTTTATATTTATTATAAAATTACGCAACTGTATGAAATATCCTTTTTGGGACGTTTACGTTAATGTTATGCGGAAATCAAAAAGTACCATTTTTAAAATCAATTTTCTCAAAAAGCCCATATCTTATTTTTCTTTATTTTTTGGTAAAATGTAGATATGATAGTTGTCTACTCGAAAATTAAGTCGAGAAAGTGTGTATTTTGTTTGTATGCGCTATATTTAAGCCTCAAAATCGGAAAAAGACGTCTTCGTTTTGCAAGACCTAAGTCAGACATAGGCACCCGTGCGTTTCTATGAATTGTGAAAAAGTTCTCTTGAATTTTTGTTTGCGTTTTGCAATCAATTATAAACGTATTTTGTGGTATTGAATAGTTATTTATGTTTTTATAAGAGAGGGAAACAACCAGAAGCATATCAAATCAGCAGGCCTAGTACAACTTCAATATCGAAGAGGCACATGCGTTGTATTGTTTCGATTTATAAAACTTTCACTGTAAACTAGCATGACTAGCTATTGGATCTCATATTACTAAGA